AGTAGATTATGGACATAGTCTCCTGCCCAGAAAAGCGGTGTAGGGAGGCACATGATTTAATTTCTCTGAGCTTCAGTTTCCCCATTTATAAAATAATAATAATAGTAATATGTACCTTTCAGGGCTATTGTTAGGCTCAAAAGAGATAACATATGTAAAGCACTTTGCACTTAAAGTACTATTGACAAAAAAAAACCACTAACTAATAGGCCAAGAGTGCCTAGATACAACCCCAGAAAAGGAAAATAACTACAAAACACCTACAAGCAAAGCCTTGAAGAAAAACACCACTTGGACATATGATCAATTAGAACGCCTGAATAAATGATGCAAGAATTTTAAAAATGATATTGTAAATGAAATGAGAGTAAAAGAAGAATCAGAAATAATAGTTATAGAGGAGAGACTAGGAAAAAGGAATCAACAACTTAAGACAAGAGTCATAAAACCTTCCCCAAGTAACAAACTGAAGTTACTGATTTCATATCAAATACCAAAACAAAGTCAAAGGATTTTAGAAAACCAGGGGAAAAAAATCAACTACCTTCCATCAAAAACAACTGGGCTAGAAAACAGATCAAGGAATTAAAATTAAACAATTATTGGTTGCTTAAAAAAATGCCTGAAAGTCAAAACCAAAAAAAGCAGGAGAGGGAGGCTAGATATATTTTAAGAAATTGGGGGGCGGGGAGGGGATTGCCTAGATCTCTTAGAACCAGAAGGCAAAGCTAAAAAAAAAAAAAAAGAATCCACTGGTTACCTCCTGAAAGAAACCCTAAATGAAAACTCCCAGGAAAATCATAGCCAAAATCTAGATCTTTCAAGTCAAAGAAAAAATATTGCAAGCAGCCAGAAAGAAAGAGTTCAAGTACCAAGGCAACGTAGGCAGAATCATTCAAAATTTAGCAGCTTAAACTATAAAGAAGCAGAGATCATGGAATACTATATTCCAAAAGGCAAAAGATATACATTTACAACTAAAACTAATTTACCCAGCAAAACAATACTATACTACGGGGGGAAAATGGATCGTTGATGAAATTCCATGAACATCTAAGCGTTCTTGGTGAAAAGACTGGAGCTGAGTAGAAATTTTAAAACACATAAGTAAAAAGAAACATTATAAGGTAAATACCAGTGAGCAATTAAAAAAAAATTATGAAGCATTTGTCTTCTAATGGGTGGGGACATATGACACTAACCTCCTTTGAAAATTGTAAATGCTAATAGAAGTTTTAGAGGGAATCAAATATGATGGAAGTCCTGGGAATAATTTTTGTGATGTTGTGATGACCTAAAAAGAAGAAAGGAAATGGAGATGGGGGGAGGGGTGGAGACCCTAAGGAAGAAAAGAGGAGGAACAAGAGAGAAAGTAACTTATTTTCTCAGATAATCAATATGTATATGTATACACATTGTATACACAATATATATAAGTAAAGAAGGATTAGAGAAAGCAAGTATCACTTGAATCTTACTTTTTAACTGATGCTAAGTGAAATGAGTAGAACTAGGAGAACAATTTATATTATAACAATAACATTGCTAAAATGGTCTTAAAAACTCTTATCAATGCAATTATCACTTTGATTCTAGAGTTCTAATGATTTAGAATATTATCCACCTCCTGACAGACAGAGAGGTGATGGACTAAATAAGCAGAGTAAGACACACATTTTTTGACATAGTCAATGTAAATAATTGTTTTGTTTGACTATGCATATTTGTTGAAGGGATGTTCTTTTTTTTTCCCCTGGAAAGGGAAGGAGGGGAGGAGAAAGAGATAAATAAAGAGAAAGTAGATGCTTATTAATTGAAAAAAATTTTTAAAGAAATTTTAAAAACTCAACAGAGATCCAAGTGGCCATAGGGAAAGGTGGAAGGAGTTGAGGAAAGATAATATTGGGAAAGGAAGGGTCACAATGAAAATAAACTTCTTGATCCTGAAGGGGAGATTAAAAGTTTATTTTTAAAAAGTAAAGAACTGGAATCTAAGGAGGTACTCAGCAGTTGGAAAATGGCTGAACCAATTGTAGCATATTAATGTACTAGAATGTCATTGTGCCATAAAAAAGATGAAAAAGAGAATTTCAGAGAACTGACACAAGAGAGAAGTGAATATAATCAGCACAATTTATAATATGACAACAACAATATGAAGACAAACAACTGTGGAAGATTCACAAACTCCTATCAACGTAATGGCCAATCCATGTCTACAGATGATCCATGAAGACACATTACCCACCTCTGAATTTGAGGTTCAGAAAGAAATATGTATTTTTCTGCACCTGGCCATTGCACAATTTTTTTTTTGCTTGACTTGTTTTGTTTATTTATTCCCACAGTGATTTTTCCCCTTTGCTTTTAACTGGTGAAATGCTTTTTTTGGGAGGTGGTATTTTAGTTCAGAATAAAAGAAAAAAAAAACCCAAAGGCCTACTTCTTTCCCTAAATCAATGTCTTATGTACTTTAGGCTGACTGAAACTACCAGGATCCCAACTAATAGTTATTCTAGGTTGGACTAGCCCTAATTAAATTAACAAAGGGCACTAGGAAAAGGGTGAGAAGCTGAGGACTCTGGGAATAAAGAAGCAAGGATTAAGGAGAGAATTCCTGTGTGCCTCCTAATTCTTTATTCTCATTTCATAGCATCTTCTATACGATGTAGCTGCTCAATGAATTCTCAATATCATGCAAATTTTATGCAAACCCACATGTAAATTGGCACCATTATATAGTCAAAAGCTCAGTCACTTTTTTTTTGTAATAGAACTGAAGAACAGCACAATTCAGAAAAACCCCTAATGCTAACTAGCATGGGTACCTGCATTCCCAGGGGAGAACTGAGTCAGACAGGGTAAGCTGCTTGCTAGGGAATCTCACCAAGCTGGCAGAGAAGACAGAGATTAAGGGAAGGGTGAAAAACAGAGACTGAGACTCCTACCTCTCTGTTCCTGCTACTCTCCCCACTCCCATCTTCCAGTCTGTGGACAGAAATAACTTCCCTTTCTTTCATTCCTGGACAGTGACATGATATTGGTCAATTGTCCTGAGTCTTCGAATGACAAGTAAATACACTGATCCTTTGTCCATTAGATATGGCATGCACCTTGCTTACTTACAGCTTTCTATCAAAAGACAGACAGAAAGATGAAGGAGGAAAGAGAAAAACTGGCTACTTAGAATTCTCTAGTTCTACTGCACTCAAGACAGCTCCAATAACTTTTCTTAGGAAAACTTGAATTCAAATCCTAACTCTGACACTTACTAGCTGTGTTACCCTGGTTAAGTCACTTAACTGTTGTCTGACTCTGGGTTCCCATCAGTAAAATGGGGGTAATAATAGCACCTACTTCACAGGGTTATTGTGAAAGTTAACTGAGATAACACATAAAAGGCGCTTTGTTAATCTTAAAGCACTATGTTTGTTGTTGTTGTTACACCTGAAAATTGTCTTCCTCCTACCTAAGTGTACACACATGTACCCTGCATAGATATTCATGCAAATATGTATTCACATGTACAGATACAAATTCAAGAAACACACACACACACACACACACTTTTTTCCTCCACCACCCTAAGTGAAGCATGGAAGGATGTGATCATCATGGTCACTTGGAGCCCAGAAGGTCACACAGTTTCTGATTGGAGTCCTCCACTGTGTTTGTTTTGCATGCCCCAGGGGCCCCCTGACAGGATTTCAGGACAGGGAGATAAGTCAGGGGCTGACCCTTCTGGTGACCCATAGCCTCACCCGCCAACTCCTGATTGCAACCTTCTGGCTATGGTAACAGTCTTTAATACAAACCTCCTGCCTGCCCAGAAGCAGCCACTGCAAGAGATGTTATGTTGGTGGGCAGGGAGCAGTCTCTGATCAGCAAGGTTATCCCCCAACCCATATGCAGAAAACCACCATGTTGGTCAGATGAGGGGCAGGGGAGTATGGAAAGAACAGAAAGGAAGAGTGAAGAGAGACTCAGAGGACATAGCCAGCTGGCCCCTGCAAAGCAGGCTCCCGGTATGACTGATAACATCTTTGTCAGGACAATTCTCTACAAGCATCTCCTCCTCTATCGTACCCCCTCTCCCCAACCCCCAACCACCACACATACACAAATAGCATTCTCTTTCTTAGACTAGCCTTCATTCTGAGCTTTCAGATATTATAATGCAATGGTAAAGCATTTATTAAGTTTTAACTCTATGCATGTTATTCACTGCTCTCAAGGAGCTCACATTCTGATTAGGAGAGGCAGTATATAGTCAATCAACAAGCATTTATTAAGTATTTACTATATTCTAGAGACATATGGAGTCAAAAGCTCACTCACTCAGTCACTATGCCCCTGCCGATAGATAGAAGGAAAGGCAAAAGACATATTCCTTGTATTCAAGGACCACACATTATAATGAAGAAGATTGTACATACAAATTAAATGCAGCGTAAGTGGAAGCTAACTTTAAAGGAAAGACACTAGTTGGGGGAGGCTGGGAAAGGCCTCCTACTGAAGATGGGATCTGAGGCTGAGTCTTGAAGCAGACAGGGTAGCAAGGTGGTGCAATGGATAGAACGCCACCCTGGAGTCCGAAAGATTCATCTTTTAAAGTCCAAATCTGGCCTCAGACACTTACTAGCTGTGTGACCCTGGGCAAGTCACTTAACCTTGCTTGCCTCAGTTTCCTCATCTGTAACATGAAATGAAAAAGGTAAACCACTGCGGTATCTTTGCCAAGAAAACCCCAAATGGGGTCACAGAGTCAGACATGACTGAAAATGACTGAACAACAACAACCTGGAGGAAACTAGTTTATGGCAAGCCACAGGGCCGGATAATACTTAGACAGGAAAGGCAGCAGGAAAGATGGCAAGAGTCAGAGAATTTGGGGGAGTGATAGCAGGCCAGATAGTCACCACGAAGAGAGTGGATTCAAAGGTTAGGGTGGAGCGGTGTGTTGGGTTATCTCCAGCAGTCAGGGATCTGGGATTCAGCACCTCAGTGACAGTGGGTATCCTGCATCTGGTGGTGGCTGGGTGAGGGATTAATCTGTGGCTCTCCTCTCACATGGCAGGGGTTGCTGCTTTATCTTCTGGCTGCCCATTGGTAGTTTGAAATGGGAAGAGGAAAGTCCGTAATTTCTCACCATGGAGGCAGTGGAGGAGACTGGTCCTAGTCATTGGTCCTAGGGTTGACATGGTAGCAGAAAGAACATTGGACTCGTAACTCAACCTATTAGCTGTGTGATATGAGCAAGTCATCTAAGCTTTCTGGTCCTCAGATTGATCATCTGTAGCCTAGATCAAGGGTGGGGAACCTTCGACCTTAAGGCCACATGTGGTCTTCTAGATCGTCAAGTGTGGCCTTTTGACTGAATCTGAATTTTACAGAATGAATCTTCACATGTGACCTTAAGGCTGCAGATTCCCCACACCTGACCTAGATGATCACGAAGGTTCCTTCCAACTCAAAAATCTTACCATCCTAAAAAAGTATAGCTATCGAGGGAAGTATTCATTTCCAAGATACTTTCAACAGCCTTGGCAGTGGTGCTATCAAATTAAATGTGCTGACAAAAGAAAGAGAGGAAAAGGGTCATGGTGGAAGAAGGTGGGAGGAGAAAAAACATGGCTCAGAGGTATGGTCCTGTGAGTGAAGATGTACATAATATAAAAAACAATACACCGGTTCTCTATCATTTTTCAATCTATCGCTAGGGAACATTCAGTGATAGGGTTTTTGCCCAGCTTAGTGGGCTGTTGGTACATTCCAAGACATTGTAGGCTTTTTGATCTGAACAAAAAGTTCCCTGTTCTTCAATATTTGATGCAAACTCACAGAAAAGGATACAGTAAGAGCTTGCCACAAATTCTTTCAGTGACTGTCTTCATTTTGTGCCTTCAATTCCATTTAACTGAACAAGTGAACTGTGTCAGGCCCTGTGGCTTGGGACATTCCAGTCTTGAAGTTGTTTCTGAATGGAACAGATGCTCTTAAACCATGAGGAAATCTTTTGTAAGATTTTCAGGTCTAGATCTTTCTAGTGTTTCACTAGGTCAGTCAAGAGAAGATTAGGCAAAAGGCAAAGCAAATCAACTCACTAAATAACCTATCTGTATCAGGTACTTATTCAACAACACACAGAAACATACCCACATAACCATCACTAAAATACTCACCGTTTACTCACATGATACATGGCATTCACAGCCATAGATAGACATACATACACATAAATGGCATTCACGGCATCCACAAGGAAAATCAAGAATGCGTGACTCCTGAGAAGAGAAGACAATAGATAACTTTCACAGAAGAATCTACTTGTCCCATGGTACTATACAGGAGTGGCACAATCTCTCCAAAGCAGTCAGAGCAAAATTCTCAGGGTACCACAATACTGAGTAGAATTTATTAGGGTACAGGCTACATTTACTCTCATTCTACCCTTAGACCATGCCACCTAGTCCATGAGCTCTAGAAAAATACAAAAAGTTTAAGATGCTGCACAGATTAGCTAGAGTCAAATGTTTATGTTCTCTTGGTCTAATGCCGTAAAGGATAAGGATATATAACACCCACAGTACTATGGAAAGAAGAAGCATCAGCAGATACTATCCTAGAGTTGATCATTTGGTGATGTGTTTTGAATTTGTATTTACTGAACCGAAGAATATTTTGTTTTGTTTTATTTTGTTTTAGATTTCTGAGAGAGAGGAGCTAGAAAGAGGGAAGATGAGAATTTGTTTTCTATCTCAGGACCATGTGGGCAGGATGGGATTGAGGAGAGCATTGAGTCTCCAGGCATCTATTTCCCTCTTCTTTACTTTTGAGACGTTGACAGGCCATCACTATTGTCAGTGCTGCTATTGTGAGTGCTATGCTGAATGGAGCTCAAGAGACCACTGTGAAGTGGGAGCAATGGTTGGTGAGATAATGCCCTCTGAAGCAGTACTCTTTTCCTATTACTCTATGCCAGAGAAGGAAGCCACTCCCATTAAATCCTCCTTCCTCCCAGGAAGCAGAAAGAGTTAAAAACAAAAGAAAACCAAACAAAAAAACCTGATTTCTGCTCATCAGTTAGCAGCACTAGCACGGCCTGCTTCCTATCCAAATGAACTGTTCCTCTCCACACTGTTCTCTGTCCTTTCAGTGCTAACATTTTATTCCCCTTTATATAAAAGGAAATATGCTAATCGGCTAATTCTTGTTAAATGAATAATGTGTGTACACGTAGAGATTTGAGGGAAGGCTTGAATCTAGGTGGAGAGAAAAAAACATTACAATTTCAACCTAAAGTGGGGGGGGAGGCAGAACAGGGGGAGGGAAAGCTGAGAGTGTCTGAATTTGGAAGTCACAACCTCAAAGGAGATGCACTGAGATGTTGCTCCTAAACTGTGTAACTTTCCATAAACAGGAGAGTTTATAAGCGGAAAGAGATTAATACCAGAAGTATAAATTAACACCTAGACATAGTAGAGATAAGTCCTTGAGGCAAAGGCTAGCCAAGACCTGATGGGTGATGGGAAGGGAGCAGGGATAATCTGTGTTAACATGTATAATTTAAACATGGTTCCCCTTTGCCGATATCTAGACCTCTTCTTGTTAAGCCTATTGCTATGGCATCTCTACCCTGATAAAATGCTATACCAGAAGATACTTCTCTTACCTCCCCTTACATTCTCTATATGTGGAAGCCTTTCTCCATGTATTTGTTACAGGTGGCGCTAGCCATGGAAAGACATTACATGGGACTGAACTTTATTTATGGGGACTTCACAGGGAGAAGAAAAAGGAGATAACCAATGTTATCAAGGTCATTGTCAATTTTGTGGGTCAAATAAAATTTCATTTAAGATGGAATTTTAAATGGGGCATCATTATTTTTTTCCACTACAGGAGAACACACTGTGGGGTAGGAGTCAGAAGGTCTGAGTTCTAATACCAGCTCTACCATTAGCTATTTCTTCAGCATATCATCCAGCCTCTCTGTGACTCAGTTTCCTTATCCGCAAAGAGAAGGAGTTGGACTATATGCTTTCTGTTCTAACATTCTATGAGCATTCAATAATGTCTGGAAACTATTATGGCAGCTGACTTAGCCCTATCATCAGACTTCTGCTGTTAAAGTTTCTGATATAGTTTTACTCAACTGGCCAGGGTCTCCCAGATTCTTCTAACCTAAACTCAAACACAGCCTCTCTTTAAGGGAGTTTGCCTTTACACTCTAAGGTCCTGTTAGGCTCAAGGATTTCCAAAGCAAATAATATTTTTTAAAAGATGAAAGTTGGGTAAAGGAAGCCAGTCTTGATAAGAAGCCCTTTACAGAGCTTTAAGCACCCCCTTAGCATCCACTACCAACCCCATCTCCTACACACACACACATACACACACCCCACCCTCTGTCTCTAGAGGAATAAGTAGGATTGACTTTCAAAACCTTTCTGCCAGCTCAGCTCACTTCCAGAGCAGGCCAGGATATCAGCTCCCAATAGAGGAAAATTGGCTGCCTGAAACCCTGCTGCTTACACACATATTAAACACACTCCATCAAGGTGAGACAGGCTTAACATTTGACCTGACTTTCATTTTTCTTTTCTATTTGCTGGGGGTGGCAGGGGGAGAATGTTCAAACAAAGTTTTAGAAGTATTTTGCTGCATTAAAAAGAGGCCAGTGATAACCACAAGTTGCACTCACTACAGCTAACAAGTATGAAGAACAGCACCCAAATATAATAGACTCCTCACTTCATCCCTCAATCCCCCCTTTTTAGCAGTAACTCCACCTTCCGCATACAAGTAGTGCTCCAATAACCATCTGGTCAAAAACCCACACTCACGAGAATTTCCACAATGGCATACTCCATTTTCCATAAGGAAAGTTGTCAAGTCTCAATAGGATTAGGCATCTCTGTTTCCAAGGGGCCAAATTCCATTCTCAATAGTGATTGGGGGTTGGAGAACGAACTAAGGAAAATTACGAAAAGCACTTCGATACAATACTTTTAACTTTTTTGGTCCTGGGAAGCTTAATATAAATCCATCTCTCCAGAGCCCTAGATAAGAGATAGCTGAGCTACTGGAGACTGTGTGTCTAGACACCTTTCCAATTTTTCATTCTTAGAGTTTGGGGTTGTTAACCAATTCTTCATGTCCCTTGTCTATGTCTTATAAATAGAGGATAAAGTAGATGTAACTGTAAAGCAAATCATGTGAAAAAATCTTGGAGGGATTTTAATGACATGGCTAAGACAATACAAGAGAATGGTGTGATTTGTCAACCGGAAAGCCAAAGCAGTGTCAGGATGCATCAATAATCCTACTTGTGCTGCACTTATCATCATCTGTATGGACTGCCTTGCTCAGTTTTGGACCCCAGCTTTTAAGGAGAATCTTGGCAAGCTGAAATGTAGGTGACCATGATGGTGATAGGACTTGAAACATGTCATATGATAAAGAGTTTGAAGGAACCAGGGTTGTTTCATCTGAAGAAAAGGGGCTTTAGGAAGAAAGAATAACACTCTTCAGATAGTTGAGAGGTTCTCAAGAAGAGGGATTACCATTAGTTTTTATTACTCCAGAACATAAAATAAACACCTATGAGTGAAAGGTAAAGGAAGATGGGAAGGAATTTGCTAACAATTAGAACTGTCAAAAACAGCATCTGCCATCTCAGGAGGTAATGAGTTTTCCTATCTTTGAAGGGATTCAAATTAAAACGAAATGAAATTTCTCTGGGATTATTGTAGAAAATTAAGCATTAGATCTTGCTCAATCATGTGAAGTTCCGCTCTTCCTCATCCTCCCCCTGAACTCCTGCCAACCAAGTAGTAAGAGGATCCCATTGTTAATGTTGATTTCTCGTTTTGGTCAATCACGGCTATGGAGGTCAAGTTGTTAAAGACAGAGCTTATCACTGTCCCTAAACCACTACCCAGAAGCCCTCAGTATAGAAAATCAGGCATTAGATCCTATAATCTCTAAGTCTCTTTAATCTCTAGGATTCTAGGGTTCTCTGTTCCTCTTTTTCACTCTCCTGATATACCAGGACAGATGTACCCACCACTCGCTTACAATTTCCAAATAGACCAAAGGTCATTACAAAGTCCCACAATTAACCCAGTAAAACTCCCTGTTGGAGTTAGATGACATGCTTAAAGCTAGTGGTGACATGGTTACAAAGCATCACGAATGAGGCCCTCAGCCTGCATCTAGGGTAACGTTGTTGTTCAGTTGTTTCAGTCGTGTCTGACTCTTTGTGACCCTATTTGAGGTTTTCTCAGCAAAGATACTGGAGTGGTTTGCAATTTCCTTCTCCAGCTCATTTTACAGATGAAGAAACTGAGGTAAACAGGGTTACCCAGGGTCACACAGCTGGTAAGCATCTGAGGCTGGATTTGAACTCAGGTCTTCCTGACTCCAGACCCAGCACTCTATCCACCGCGTATCAACCCTACCTAGGGTCATAGGATTATAGAATTTAGAAGCAGAAAGAACCTAAGAGATCGTTTTACAGTTGAGGGAGCTAAAATCCAACTCCTACATAGTCTCCCAGCTTTACCATTACCACCAAAAAATGAGAATGAAGGAGATTAAAGCATCCTTTGGCCAGCCTCTCTTACTCTGTGTGGAAATCTGCTGGGGTGGTGCAATGTTTTTCAGAAGCCAAGAGCGATCACTTGACTACTGAATCCCCAGGATACCTTCCAGTCACTCCAGCATGACCAGGTGTCTTGCCAGTGTCTCCAGGGAGCCCGGCGTCCAGACAATTGGCCCCTGCCCTGATGGGAAAATAACTTTGTTAAACAACCATTCATTACAGTTTAAAAGATACATGTAAGACAACAGAAGTGGCAGTGTAATTAGTGAAATGATGGAAAAAAATATGTAAGGCACTCAAATGTAATTACAATCTTCTTAGATGCCCATAGGATGTTCCTATATGTCTCTTTATTTACACAGGATATAAAACAACAGTTGGTATTTATATAGGAACTTCTTGCTCCAAATGCTTTACAAACATTCCCTTCCTATTTCTTCCAACAGCCTCAGGAAACAAGTAAGAAGAGTGTTTGTCCAGACTTTATTGTTGGGAAAACTAATGGGTTGTTTAGGGTGCCTAGTTACAGAGCACAGAGAGTGGGCCCTCAGATGAGAGTCTTACAAACGCCTTCTCAGAAGTCACTTATTTGCAGCAATTCTATTTGGTCTACAAAGTTTGCATCCATCCTGCTCAGATTACTCAATCATATATCTCTCCACTTGTAACCAGCTTTACCTTTTCCTTTTGGGCCATGGAACCCAAGCATCTACCTAGAATTGATATCTACTTAAGACTGACCTCCATATTTCAGTATCTTTTAAAAAAATCCTTTATGCTTTTCCTTCTCTCATCAGAATCGTTTGCCACGATGTCTTCCCTTGTCATTAGTTCCCCTTTACAATAAACAAACAAAAAAAATCTGAGTAAAAATCAACTGCAGAAGCTGTTTTAGAGAGAACATTTGTCTTCTCTTTTCCAAGCTAAACATCCTCAATTCTTTTTAAGTAAGTACCTAGGGAAGGGACAACTGAACCATCTAGGTCCACATCCCACGGAAGAGAAACAAACAAAAAGTCACTTGACTTCCCCCTAAAAAATGAGGGACTGGAGATTTCTAGAATAACTCAGCAGATATCATCTAGCTACTCAGACTTCTCATACAGAAAAGACGAATTTAAAAAAGTATTCATTACCACTGCCTGAAGCATCATCAAGCTAAACTTTGCTACCCAAGACCCTAACTATGATCACAGAGAGACAGAATTATATGATACACTCATAAAGAGGGTTATGGAAACCGTCTCTCTGGATACAAACTGGGCAAGATCCTTTCATGTACAGAGGACAATCAAGACGCCACATCCCTGCTGCCTCGATGTAGCACCTCCGAGATACTTTCCACCAATACTCAGCTATGAAAAGTGCAAAAGAAAATTCAAAGGGACCAATAGTGGCAATATATGTACAAAAAGGTTTAAGACTGGAAATTTCTAATCACCTCTGAAATATGTGTGTGGGTTGACAGGTAGAAACCACAGACAGACTCGTTGAGGTCACTACCAGATTGTGCACAATGCCAAGCTAAAACCTCAAGGACAGACAAGACCAAATTTAAAACCTAAGAAATACAAAGACTTGAAAACCCAGCTGGAAAAGGTTGTGGGTAAACCAGGGGTATAAAGATGGATAATAGAGGCCAAGGTGAAGACTGAGGACCCCTTCCCAATTCAGGGTCTCATGGGCAGCATTTCTAACTACTTCAGATGAGTGAAACACTGGAATAACGAATGTCCAAATTGTCCCCTCTTGAGCACAAATGAACCAAGCTCACCAGTATTGGGACAGTAAAAAGAAGTCTAGTGCTTAGACTCAGAGGACCTGGGTTCAAATCCTTCTTCTATACTTACTACTCAGATAATCTTAGGCAGGTTACATAACCTCCCCAGTGCTGTTTCCTCCTGTAAATTGAAGGGGTTGGATTGGCTTCAGAGATTCCTTCCAGTTCTCCTTCCACAAGCCTAAGATCCTACATCTGCTACTTTTGTTTTCTTTTTTACCACACGTGCAGACACAATGTCGATTTCACACTTTGTACCCTGCCCTATTACCTGTGAGCAGTAAACCAGAAGTTTTCCTGCCTATTAATAGGAAAACTTATTGCTTCTTAATGAAAACAAGATCAACACACTCCACTAATCCTAAATCCATTCTGCAAAAGGACAGATTTTCTTCTGTTCCTTTTACAGAGGAAACAATTCAGGCAGTGATCGTCTCCATTGCTCCTGGTGCTTCACCCTGTTTCTCAGCAATTATCAGTTTCTATAAGGCCACTCACCTCTAACCATTCCTTCCTCCCAAGCCCAACTTCCCCATCAACCTTTTAGGTCACGACCTCTTCTGCTGTCTTGGTTGTGCGATCTAATGTACCCCAGATGGAGTCCCACATAACGTCCCTGCTAGACAGACTTACTCTACCACACGAAGTTCCTCCCTTCCTCATCTCCAACCTCCCCCGCCCCCAGCAAAGTAGCAAGTCTTTCTGCTGTTGATCTCTCTTTTTGATCAACCACTGCTACGGGGGTCAGACTGTTTAAGACAGAGCTGAGCTCTATCCCTAAGCCACTGCCCAGAAGCCCTCAGCATCTACTGTAACAAGGGGCACGTTCACAGTTGTTCTTTCTGGTTATGGTGAACCATGTGGGAATTTTTAGGCCTAATTCTGACCATGTGCTGGCTTAGGGCTGGGAGAACTTGTTTCTTTGGTATGAGATGTGGCAAGTTCTGAATCATGCACTGGTTCTTTCCTTGTCTTGTGATATGGCTGGAAGCAAGGGTGCTGTATCTTTGGAGGCCAGATGATGATGATGGTGATGATGATGATGATGATGATGATGATGGTGATGATGATGTCTATCCATGGTGCGTGAGACTTCCAATGAGAGGTGAGGAAACACTAGTCTTTTTGTATCCCAGAATCATGGTGACTATGCCCATATGGCAACTAGTTTGGGGGGAAAGAATCAATTGGGCAAAGTTGTACCTTCATCTTGCCTGCTTTTTCTTTCTTTATGTTTCCTTTCTTAAGTAGCTGACTGAGCAGCAATTTTGAGATGACCATGTCCAGGCTTAAGAATGATCTTGTAGGTTAGAGATACCAAGACATCTGCAAATGTGGAAACAAAAGTATCCATTAGAAGAGTGGTGATGATGTCCACTGTGGGGATAGAGGAGGAGATGGAGAGAAAGCTTCTGCATTAAAGAGAATGACCATCAACAACATGTCTAGCTTACCAGAAAACATATATCAGAGTGGTACAGAGCCATGGTAAACTGTAAAATGCTAAATTAGCAGTCCTACAAACTGAAACATCAGCCTTCTAGTAGGTTATAGTTATAAGTTAATTTATTGGACAATAATAACAGCTGGCATTTATGTAATGCTTTAATATAATGTAATAAAGTCCCTATAACATAATGTAATAGAATAATATAAATATAATATAGAATATATTTAATATAATAATTTAATATGATATAGTCCCTATAAAAGAGTCATTGCTAGTACAAGATATAGCCTTCCCTTGCATCTGTCATCACAACCTTCCCATTGTTTTGGTCAAGAAGGCAAATTGTAAAGATTGGCAGTTTGGTTAAGGCCAAGTAACTAAGTAGTACAACCCACATTTATATGTACCTAACTCTGCCACCATTCTTCAGTCAGCCAATAAACATTTATTAAGCACCTACTCTGTGCCAGTCCCTGAGCAAAGCACTGGGACTGGAAATATATAAAAGAAAGACAGTCCCTGCCTTCAAGGAGCTTATAATCTGTTTGGGTAAGATAGTGCACAAAAGGAAACTGAAAGGCAGGGAGTATGATGGAGAAATCTAAAGGCATGCAGATGGATAGGAAAAGAAGAGATGGATGGCCGAGCCCCATCCTTAAATGGAGGTTCTGGGAGGATCTCCTACCCTCCACATCAGAAGGAGGGTGCCTTTATTCCACCAGCAGCCACATAGACAGCCTCCTGATTCCCCCACAGTGTCTGCATTCGTAGCTAACCACTGTGCTTCATCATCTTGTACATGTTGGCAAGGAAAGAATGCAGAAAATTCCAAAGATTAGTTGGTATGCCCCAACTTGCATCTCTTGCAGAGACCCACAACCTACCCTACATTCAAGCTCCTAATGTGGGCAAAGCTTTAAATGTAAGGCCAGCATCCAGCTCCCTGAAAAAAGGCCTATTCCTTAGCCTATCAATGGACCTCATTCAGATGCCAAAATATGCAGGGTACAAATATATCTTAGTAAGGTATGCTTGTTTTCTAGGTGAGTAGAAGCCTATTCATGTAAGAAAGTCAATTCCTTCACAGTAACAAAGAAGTGGTTAAATCATCTATCCCCATCTGGAGAATTCCAGAATCCCCCTATAGTGACTGAAGAACACATTTCACAGGAAAAATCATTCAACACCAGCCAAGATTCTAAAATGTGAATTGTTTCCATCGCCCTTGCTATCTTCAAAGTGTAGCAGCAGTATGAAGACAGAATGGAATACTTAAAAACAAATTTGCCAAAACGTGTGAAGATACAGGCCTAATCTAAAAAAATACCATTACCCCAGCCCCCTATATCAAGGGCCATGTCCTCAAGAACACGTGGACTTAGCCTTTATGACATCCCAGAAGGCCGGGCCATAAGATTTTTGTCATCTTTGCTATTGGCTGATTTTATTTGGTTCACAGCAACATGATAACATACTGTAGAAAAGAAATGTAAAACAGAAAGGTTTTACATCCCCAGGTCTAGGTAACATTCCGACAGAGCTCAACCAGGAACCTCACCACTATTTAAATATGGGAGATTGGGTGTGTATGAATATCCGCTAGAGAAAACTAGCCTTCAAGTCTAGGTGGAAAGGCCCACATTAGATATTTCTCAAATTAAGCTGACTGGCATCGACTTCTAGATACATGCTTCAAAGTGTTAAAAGAACCATCCTATCAACTGAATGCCATTTAATCTAGTGTACAAGGAGGGGGCCTAGACATAGGCAAGCTCTAAGGACTGCACGGTAGAAAATGGCCTCAGCTAAAGACCTTAAACTCATCCTGAAGAAGAATAACACAGGTCCCAAGAGCCTGGAAGAAGCTGATTTCTGAGGGTCAGCTAAGGTCCTTTTCCATGGGATCATGTAGGTATAAAGAAAAGGCCATGAAAAGTTGAAAATTGCCTGATAAAACAAACCTAATGTCACAGGGACAAGCGTTTTCTTTGAACTATGCATACTGCTTCCACTTGGGAAAGGTCTACCATAGCACTCCAGATGGTATGGTAACCAATTGCAAAAAATTTCCTTTGGTATTTGGAGTTGGTTATCCAATTTGGGAGGCAGTTAGGTCACTCAGTGGATAGAGTGCTGAGCAGAGTCAGGAAGACCAGACTTCAAATACAGCCTCAGACACTCACTACCTGTGTGATCCTGGGCAAGTCATTTAACCTCTGTTTGTCTTAATCCTAGTGGAGAAGGAAATGGTAACCACTCCAGTATCTTTACCAAGAAAACCCTGTGGACAGTTTTGATGTGGACCATATGTCCACAGGGTCTCAAAGACTTGGACACAACTGAATGACTGACCAATAACAACTCAAAATCTTGGGCTGGGCAAAGAGACTTGCTTAAGTACTGACTAATCAGCCTAATCACACTTGTTGCTTATGTAATTCTACTGTAAATAATTTCCTGAGTAAGATGACACATAAACAAGTTTGATGGGATAATAGGCAAAGCTGAGAGATGGTTAATGCTGTTTCTATTCAAACAAGAAGCCAAATGTATCCCTAAAATGGCAATAGGGGGTTGACACAAATTGAGTTATGTCCGAAGAAGGAATTGTGGAAAATATTTTAGGAAAAAAGACATTTTAGAAAAACACTGAAGGTCAATACCTGACTGCATGTCCCCTGTGCCTCCTTATAAGGAAAGTATAATGAATCAGCCAACCCACTCACTGTTCTCTTTTCTCTAGCACCATATGTATTTATCCAATTCAGCAATAAGAGACTCTCTCTATACAGGGAGAGATTTTTCCATGTGTAGAAAAGCAACTGAGTGCTTGATAAATGCCTGGGTTATAATTTCTGACTTAAATACAACCAACAAAATAACTATTTCTGATAAAATGTTCAACATTCCACACCCAAGATCTCCCATCTTTTTAAGGAAAGGAAATTAATTTATTTCCTTTTTTTCTCCAGGGCCAAGATAGCAATTAATCTGAGTTCAGCAATGCTTCAGTGTTCTTTTCATTCACATTACTGTAGTCATTGTGTATATTGTCCTCTTGGTTCCACTTTTTTCTCTCTGCACAATTTTATTTGAATCTTCTCATATTTTATGAATTCCTCATATGTCATTTCTTCCAATGTAACAATACTCTATTATATTTTATACCAAAATTTATTGAGCCTTTTCCTAAATTTTGTTTCCCAGTTTTTCACATCACAAAGAGTGCTACTACCTGAATTTTGCTTCTGTGTCTTCATTTGCCAAATAAAAAAATAAAGACAAAAATTGTTCTCCTTAAAGAGGTTGTAAGAACTACATAACTCATAGTTGAAAGAGACCTTAGAAATCATCTAGTCCAACTCCTTCATTTTACAAAAGAGGAACTTAAGGCTCAAAGAAGGGAAGTAAATCTATCACATCACTGGGGTAAAAGGCTGTGGCATAATTTATTGGGATGTCTTAGATCACTATAAGGTGGGAGCATCATTCTTTTCATAATTATAAATATAATTATGTATTAATTGGTTAGATATGAAAATGACTCAGTCAAAGCTCAAGAATTTTCCTAGAGAAGTGCTGAGACTTTGGGAGACATGACCAACAAGATGATAAGAAACTAGACATCTTCACTGATCCTCATGGTCCTCTTTGAGACTTTGATTTCCTCTTTGACCATCTGATCCTCTCAAAATTCTCCAAAAAGTAACTATGCATACAAGAAATAAAGCCATTTTAGCTATCTTCATGGTCTAGAACACCAAGAACCTTAATGAGATAATAATTCACAGAACATTAATGGAAGAGAAGATAACTTTTTAATTACTACCTAGATCACTCATCACTCCTTCTCCCACTGCCCACTACATGGGCAAGGCTACACAAACTGACCTATAAGATTGCAACAGAACTCACCTTACCAGTCCTTCCTCCCAGTGGTTGTAGAAAATCAAAAGGAAAAAGTATATTCTGACTGGAATAGCAACATGGCAGCATTCTGTGCTATAATAGAACTCTATCAGAAAACTAAGGAACAGAGGGAAGCGAGAGAAGACAGAGCCCAGCATCTACCTAAGGCTAGTTCTACTCACCCAGAAGTCACTTGGAACAGAGACAAAGGCCAGTTAATTGCCCATCATGGGAGGAGGCTGAGACTGCTTGGAGGTCTAACTACAAGGTAAGCTCTATCAAAGGGGAAGGAGTCAAGAAAGGTGCAATCATGGAAAAAATAAGAGGGGAGGGAAAAGACATACATTATCAAGGGTCTCAGGAATAAGAAAACTAATTTAAAGACCTTGAATATGAGCAGATTCACCAAAAGGGAAGACATTAATAACATAAAGGAATATGGACTCCAGATCAGCAAAAAGAATCCAAGTACCTATGAATAAATATCTCAAGACCTAGGAAAATGATTCAATATCTGATGAGGCAGAGGAACCTATGGATTCCAAAGAAAGCATGAAACTATAACAGGATATTCCTTTTTAATAATATTTTTCCAATTACATGTAAAAAGAATTTTTAACATTCTTTTTTAAAAAATGTGAGTTCCAAATTCTCTCCCTCCCTCTCATCACTCACTCCTTCTTAAGATGGCAGACAATTTGATATAGGTTATACATGCATTGTCATGCAAAACATATTTCCATACTAATCATTATGAAGGATGACATGAGCCAAAAAAAGTAAAAAATAGTATGCTTTCATCTGCATTCAGACTCCATCAGTTCTTTACCCGGAAGTAGATAGCATTTCATATCATAAGTCCTTTGGAATTGTCCTAGATCATTGTATTTCTGAGAATAGCTAAGTCATTCACAGTTGATCATCATACAATATTGCTATTACTGTGTACACTATTGTACTGTACATTCATGGTTCTGCTTACTTCACTTTGCATCAGTTCATGTAAGTCTTTCCAGGTTTTGCTGAAAGCATCTTGCTCATCATTCTTATAACACAAAAGTATTCTATCACAATCATATGCCACAATTTGTTCAGCCATTCCCCAATTGATGGGCATCCCTTCAATTTCCAATTATTTGCCACCACAAAAGGAGATGCTATAAGTCTTTTTGTACATATAGGTCCTTTTCCATTTTTAAAAACATCTGTTTGATATACAGACCTTGTAATGCTAATGCTGGGTCAAATGGTATGCACAGTTTTATAGACCTTCCGGCATAGGTCCAAATTGCTCTCCAGAATGGTTGGATCAGTTCACAACTTCACCAGCAGTGTATTAGTGTCCCAATTTTTGTACATGCTCTCTAACACTTGTCATTTTCCTTTTCTGTCAGATTAGCCTATCTGATAGGTATGAGGTAGTAAAAGATATTATTGAATGGTTTAAAAGAGACTTTGTGAGACCTGAACTTAAGAATATTTAACATATGATATATCCATTTGTCATATTAGAAAAGATGGCAAAAATGGATAAAGAAAATTGTATAAAGGACTATTGGTGTGTACATACACTAACACGCTATTAGTGAAATTGTGAAGTGATATGACCATTGTAGAAAGATATTTGGAGGAGCAGTTAGGTGGCTCAGTGGATAGAGCTCCAGCCTTGAAGTCAGGAGGACCTGAGTTCAAATCTAGCCTCAGACAATTGACACTTACTAGCTGTGTGACCCTAGGTAAATCACTTAACCCCACTGCTTAGCCAAAAAAGGCAAAAAAAAAAAAAGATATTTGGAACTAGACATAAACAGTCACTGCTTTACTGTGCATACCCATTCACCACCAGAAGGTATATATGCCAAAAGGATAAATGAAAAAAGTAAAGGACCTATTTGTACAAAAATACTCATATCAGTCCTTTTGTTGTAGCAATGAACTGGAAATTAAGAGGCTATCCATTAAATTAAGAATGACCAAAGAAACGATGGTATGTGAATGTAAAGGAATATTATTGTTCCATAAGAAATTATGAAAATGATGGCTTTAGAAAAACCTGGGGAGACTATAAATTGAGGCAGAACCATGAAAACAAATTGTATAGTAACTACAGTATAATTTTAAAAAATCAACTTTGAAAGACAAAAGCTCTGATCAATATAATGACCAAGTGGAGTATCAAAGATGAAGCATGCTTTACACATCCTGACAGAGGGATGGTGGAATAAAGGTACAGAGAAAGAAAGTTTGAAAGCATGAAAGGAAGGAAGGAAGGAAGGAAGGAAGGAAGGAAGGAAGGAAGGAAGGAAGGAAGGAAGGAAGGAAGGAAGGAAGGAAGGAAGGAAGGAAGGAAGGAAGGAAGAAAAGAAAAGAAAGGGATGGGATCATGGGCACATGTAGGTTGGCATGAGCAAGAATAAAGGCAGTGGTGTGTTATTTAACAACTGGATTTCTGGGAAAAAATATATGCTTGGCATACTTTTAAGTTTAATCTGCATTATTAGTATTTTCTCTATCAGTTTCTTAAGTCTAGACAACCAATAAATCAAATCCTCATTTGTAGCATTTTCAGACATCAGAAGTGTGAATGCTCATACTGAATATGTAATAATCACCTCTCTAAAATAGTTTTGAGCTGGTTCCAGCAGACTGCTAGATAAGGATCATCTCATTATCTGTCACCTAAGAAGAGGAAAGAATGAGGGATAATGCCAAGGAAGGGGTTTTGAGATTAAGAGAAGGGGAGAAGAAAAAGTTCATGTGAATCACTTCAGTTTTCTCATTGAAGTAAGCAATGTGGTTTTCAGCTGAGAGGGTATAGGAAGAGAAGGTTTCAGAATTCAACCTTAGGCTTTTAATAGTACCCTGATCACTGGTAATGAAGTCTCTAATGACAAAGTGTTATTGTTGGAACATATCATGTTCACTAATAGAAGTATTATTGGCACATTATTTTGAGATCTTGATAGGGTTGAAAAATATCATGCAGAACTGGACAGCCTGAGAACTCCAACCTTGTTCTTCTTGTGCAATCTTTCTACAATGGCTTAATCTCTCTGGGCCACACCCAACAGAGAGAAGATTCTTCCAAGAGTCCTTGAGAAGGTTGCCTGACCCTGGAATCTGAGATGCTACAAAAGCAGAAAACGCTATAGTTATAATCTCTCCCACCCGTCATCACTAGAACTAGAAGTTCTAAACATTTGTTATGAATTGAATATTCAGGTCGGGCTCAAAACTTTCAGCACTGAAAATATATGTGTGTGTGTATGTATACATATATGTGTGTATCCATTACTTATAGATGTTATACTGCTAATTAATAGTCTTTTATGGTCATAACTCCTATCTCCACAATAGCCACTCCTTTTTTTAATATCTAGCCTGGATTTTCCTCTGCTGAGTCATACAGCTTTATGAGGACTTGCTCAGCAGGAATCTCCCTGGCCAGTGAGAAGGATATTGTGATAGTCTGGGGAAATTGAAAGTATTTTTTTTAATCCAATAAGCTATCTATGTTCCGCCCTCATTCTGTGCTGCTATCTGGAAGAAGTTATGGTTAGACATTTTCAATCTAGAAACATCCAGTTTCCTAGATAATTGGCATTGCCTAGCTCTAACATCAGAATCAGGGTAAGGAATAGTCACCAATCAGACAGACCTATAAAGGGACCCCACTCCTTCCCATTAAACACTTGGAACTTTTATGTACTAGGTAGTTTTTATATACAAGGTTGAAGTGGACCCAAGAAATCTGAGAGAGATTGGTGTAGCAATGCACCAAGTCCTAGAAGTCACTTCTTATGAGTTCCACCCTCCTTCCCTGTACTGGATCATGACTGAGGCTGTCTGGTGCCATCCCTGCTCATATCCTTTCCCTGCTCTTCCTCAACCATGTTTGAATCTATCAGTCCCAGCCCCAGTGTGGGGAAAGTGGGCAAGTCTAAGGGATGCCCTAAAAATATCACATTGCAGTGGAGCATCAATTGCCCCAGTTACCTTCTCTTAATGCTCCTGTCTTCATGCCTCTTTGGGTATTTCCAGGTAAAACAAATGGATATCCTTTAAACCAGTCAAATGTAAAAGTCTACTGCTTTCAGCATTGTGCTGCCCAGGCTAATCACAACGGAAACTACAAACAAAAAGATGAGATTGGAGGCACCAGCTTGACCTCTTGAACTTTCCTAGAATAGAGACCTTCCATTTAGAAAAAAAAAAGAGTGAAAAGTGAGGGAGAGAGATAGAAGAATACGTTAGAAAATTTTTTTTAGATGAGGTCTTTCATGATCTAGAGTAACTTACCAGTGTGACCACTTATTTTTTTCTTTTGGTGAGGCAATTGGGGTTAAGTGACTTGCCTAGAGTCACACAGCTACGAAGTATCATGTGTCTGAGGCCAGATCTGAACTCAGGTCCTCCTGATTCCAGGGCTGGTGCACTATCCACTGTGCCACCTAGCTGCCACCAACACTTCCTAAAATAATAGGAGACAGTTTAGGTGAGATCTTTTACACACACACACACACACACTTTCATTGCTTTCCTTTCTGGATTTTCTTCCCCCTCCCCTGAGGAATTATTTTGATTGTATTGGGGTAAGGGAGGGAATTTTAAATAACAAAGAAGAAACAGAAACACAGACAGAAGGGGATAGAGATAGCAAAAGAAAGAAAGAGAAAACTAGAGAGACAGATACACAGAAACGAAGGATAAGAGAGAATTACATATGTTAGCCAGGTAAGAAAAGCACAATTGTCTTTGTTTTTTGATCACACTAGTTACATAATTGAAGATTGGACAATTTGCAAAGATCCAGCTCCCACCATAAAGGCTAGCCTCATGTTCTTAGTGAATGAAAAAGACAAAAAATATTAAATGTGTTCAAACTGGGAATCAATATGGGCTTTGTCCCACATCTGTCTGGAGTGAAACGGTGACAAGGCAGGTTATCGGAGAGTGTCAAACATCTCTGAGCCCACTTTCTTCTTCCACCCTCATAGATATCTCTCCTTTTTCCCAGTCATCTCTTGGCAATCTGCCTCTCTTTGCTTCCCTCTATTTTTGACATTCCTTGTTCACTGTTCTTCTTCCACCTACCTATTTCTCCTCCTCTGTAGACTTGCTTTCCTTTCCTTGCTTTTACCCTAAGTTGCCTAATGTTCTAGGACTGGATGATCTCACTCAAAGAGGCTGAAGAGATTTTCTGGGGCCCAGACCACCAGGCAGAGTGTCCTGAGGCTTAGCCCAAGCACACTCCCATTAAAAATATGAAAGTTAAGGTTACATCACTTTCAAACTTCTAGGTCAACAGTTTCTAAACTGTATTCCTATTATCTCAAGTATTTAATAGAATGTGAATAGAACTTCCCTAAGAATATTTCAATCCTAGCAATATTTCCCCCAAAAAAAAATTAACTATGGGGGGAGGTGGGGACAAGATGGCAGAATACAGGCAGCAACTACTTGAACTCTCCTAACATTCCCCTCCAAACAACTTAAAATAACCCCTCAAATAAAATTTTGAAGCTGAAGAGCCAACAAAAGATCAGAGTGAGACATTTTTTCAGCCTGAGACAATATAGCAGGTCAGCAGAAGAGGTCTGTGACATCGGGGTGGGAGCTGGCCAGAGGCATGATAGAAACCCCGTGAGGGAGGGGAGAGCCTTGGAGGTGGCTATAAACAAAATCTCAAAGAAAAATGCTAACTAAACACAAGCCCAACAAAAATTCCTAGAAAAGTTAAAGAGAGAAGAATACTAGTAGAGGAAAACTTGGGAAAAGAGAGTGATGCAAGAAAATTATGAAAAGAGAATAACAACTTGGTGAAAAAGGTACAAAAAAATTTTGGAAGAAAATAACACCTTAAAAAACAGAATTGGAATATGGTAAAAGACGCACAAAAATTCACTGAAGAAAAGAACTCCTTAAAAAACGGAATTGGCCGCATAGTAAAAGAGGTAAAAAATCTCATTGAAGAAAATAATTCCTTTAACATTAGAATTTGGCAACTGGAAGGTAATGACTCCATGAGACATCAAAAAGCGCTAAAACAAAGTCAAAAGAATGAAAAAATAGAAGAAAATGTGAAGCATCTCATTGGAAAAACAAGTGACCTAGAAAATAGATCAAGGAGAGATAATTTTAATATTATTGCACTACATGAAAGCCGTGATTTTTCAAAAGGAGGTTGGATATCATATTTCAAGAAATTATCAAGGAAAGGGGCAGCTAGGTGGCACAGTGGATAAAGCACGGACCTGGACTCAGGAGGACCTGAGTTCAAATCCGGCCTCAGACACACAACACTTACTAGCTGTGTGACCCTGGGCAAGTCACTCAACCCCATTGCCTAGCCCCCCCAAAAAAAGGGGGGATTATTAAGGAAAACTGTGACCAATATCTTAGATCCAGATGGTAAAATAGAAATTGAAAGAATCTACCAATCACCTCCTGAAAGAAAGCCCAAATTGAAAACTTCCAGAAACATTATAGCCAAATTCCAGAACTCCAAGATCAAGGAGAACATATTGCAAGCAGCCAGAAAGAAGCAATTTAAATATCATGGAGCCACAGTCAGGATCACACGAAATTTAGCAGCTACCATATTAAAGAATCAGAGGGTTTGGAACATGATATTCCAGAGGCAAAGGAGCTAGGATTACATCCAAGAATAACCCACCCAGCAAAACTGAGTATAATTCTTCAGGGGGATAAAATAGACATTCAGTGAAATACAGGACTGGTAATGATTCTCATAGGTGAGCAATCAAAGAGGGAGTTGAGTCATGACAATTCTGCAATGTTAATCCAAAACTATATTTTAACATAGAATATCTTTGTTCAAGATTCCCATGAGCGTTACTTTGGAGAGAGTCATGACAAAGGCTTGGGGCAACTATGCTAATGTGTGCATCTCTCTCTCTCTCCCATCTACAAATGGCTTGGATATTAGACTGATGTTAGATTAATTTGTTTCTGGCAGATTTATGGCTAAAATGAAGAGCTCAGTATTAATATTTTCTTCAACACCCCATTGCCATGTGAGTTCTTTCATCTTGAGCCCCCTTTCCCTTGGACTCTGTATGTATTTGTGTGAGAGTATGTACCAGGCTTTGGCAGGAGGGAAGAATGGTTTTTGTACCAACTGTTCTTACTATGATATCTGAGTAAATACTCCTTTCTAAAAGCTAATTAACTCTGGTTACTTAATTGATATAGACTAGATAAGTGATTTGGGGGATCACACTAAATAGGCGTTCCTGAGTATTAGTATTAAGAACCCACAACCTGTTACTAAAGGGAAAAGTTGTAGTCACCATGTGGGAACCAACCTATAAAATGCAAGTGGAAATTTAAAGGTAGCCCAAACCCTGTGCTGTGTATATCAAATCTAATTAAAATAAGCACGGAAGGCAATACTGAGTATAAAACTGAAATACAGAAAGGAAACTTTCCAATCAATTCAACAAGCACTTAATAAACATCTCTTCTAATTGGAAATCGAAGGGATGCCCATCAATTGGGGAATGGCTAAACAAGCTGTGGTATATGATTGTAATGAAATATTATTGTGCTATAAGAAATGACAAACAGTGATTTCAGAAAAAACCTGGAAAGACTTACATGAACTGATGCAAAGTGAAGTGAGCAGAACCAGGAGAATGCTATACACAGCAACAGCAACATTGTTTGGTGAATGACTTAGCTATTCTCAGCAACACAATGATTCAAGACAATCCCAAAGGACTGCCAATGAAATATACTATCTGCTTCCAGAGAAAAAAAAGTGATATTGTTTGAATACAGACTGAAGCATGTTATTTTTTCACTTTTTTCTTTCATTCTTTTTCTTTTATTTGACTCTTCTTGTACAAAATGACTAATATGGCAATGTTTTACATGATTGCACATGTATAACCTTTATCTGATTGCTTACCATCTCAGGGAGGGGAGGAGGGATAGAATTTGGAACACAAAACTTAAAAAAAAAAGTTTAAAAATTATGTTAAAAATATTAAAAATTTTAAAAATTGTTTTAACAAGTAATTGGATGTGTATGTATGTGTATGTGTGCATATATGTGTGTGTATGTGTATATATGTGTATTTGTGTGTGTATTCTTTAAAAATCTCCTCTGTATCAAGTACTCTGCTGCATGCTAGGGAAACACAGACAAAAACAAGACCCTGACTGAAATGAATCCCTGACTCTTCAATGAGTTCACATTCTACTGGGAGCCTGGGGCTTAGGGTTAGGGGGCTGGGGAAAGAGGTGGGAGGGGATAGATGTACAGATATAAGTAAATACAAAATAAAAACAAAGAGATTTTGGAGTTAGCACTAAGAACCAGAGGAATGAGCAAAAGCCTCTTGTAGAAAGGGGCACTTGAGAGATGAAGAAAGCTAGAGTGAGCTTTAGGGATGAATGTATAATCATAAAAAAAGATGTGCTTACCTGGCAACCCACATCAGCTCCTTAGTCATTGTGGTGGCAAAGAGGGGCATCATGGGTTACCTATATAAATATTTGTAAGAGCCTCAGTTCCTTTATATGTTCCCTTCTCCCACCAGTTGCCTTCCTAAATCCAATGTTTGTTGACATTGGAGTAGCTCTCAATTTTCTAAAATATAGGACATGAGAGGATTGCCTTGATATGCTGTAAATGAAAGACAGCTCTCTCCCTGCCCCTTGCCTTCTTGGGAGAGCCTGAACTATTCCTCAATTTAAAACAAAACAAAACAAAACCTGGATTGGAGAGATTCTTGCTCTCAGACTGCTCTGCCAGTTAGGGACCTAAGGCCCTTATGTCTCCTAGAAGAGCTTGACTTCATGCATGATAAGTAACTTCATGGTACAATATATAAAGTTCAGAGCCAGAGGATGTGAATTCAAATCTTGGTTCTGCAACTTTCTACCTATGGCTTTGGCCAAATGACTTACTTGTTTTAAGTTTCCTCATCTGTAAAATTGGGGGGGGGGTGTTAGACTAGACAATATCTAAGGTACCTTCCAGTTCTGATGGTACAATTCCATTAAATGAAAAATGAAGCTTAAAAATAATTTGAAGGCTCAGGTCAGCATTGTCAATAAGTCCCAGGCTGATATCTCATTTCCAAACCAGTGCAAAATATGAATCCTCAAAGTAATGACTGGAACATTTTCTGGGACCTGATAAAGGCCTCTTGAGCCTCTAACTTTAAATTCTGTTATAAACAAAGAGGAACAGATGAATTTTTAAACTTCATCTTTATATCTTTTAAAAATAAAGTTCTATTGATATGTTTTGCTTTTATGTCACCTACATTTACCAATGTATTCCCTTCCTTATCCCTTCCAAAGAGTAATCCCTTCCACAACAAAAAGGGGGATGGGTCAGGGAACAATTCAGTAGAACTAACATGTCAGCCAACTTTGACATTTCACATGGTATTCCAAATTCATAACCCTCTGCACTTCAAAGTAAGGGGGAAGGCACCTTCTCATATCTCTTTTTTGGAGTCACACTTTCATAGCTCTCATTTTTAATTATTTTGCCATTCTTTCCATTTATATTGTTGTAGTCATCGTGTTTATTTCACTTTATACCGTGTCTCCCTATTTTTCTGCACATATTATTCATGGTTTCTTAAAGTGCAACTACATTCTTATAGTTATAATACAATTATATTGTTATTGTTTCTTACTATTACATTAATATACCACAATTTGCTTAGCAATTCCCAGTCAATGGATATCTGCTTTGTTTTTAGTCTTTTGTTACAATGAAAAGTGCTGCTATAAATATTTGGGTGTATAGAGGGCCTTTCTCTTTTTCTCTGACCTCCATGGGGCATATAAAGGCCTGGCAGTAGGACCTCTGGGTCATAAGGTTAAGTTACTTTTTTAGCTTTCCACATGGCTTTCCAGAAAATAGTTGGACCAGCTCAAAGTTCCATCAATAGTATATTAGCATGACTGTCTTTTCACAATCTTTCCAACATTTTTTTCCCATATTTTATCACCTTTGCCAATTTACTGGATATGAGGTAAATGAACTCAGAGTGATTTGGTTTTACATTTCTCCTATTATTAATGAGTTGGAGCAGTCTTTCACATAGTTAATAGTCTGCAATTAATAGTCTGCAATTCTTTTCAAAACTGTTTGTTTACATTTTTTGACCACTTAGCTATTGGGGAATTGCTCTTGTTCTCAAATATTTGTGTTAGTTCCCCATACATCTTGCATGTATCTTAGATAACAGGCCTTTATCAGAGATATTTAAATAAAGATTTTTTCCCAATCAATCACTTTCCTTCTTATCCTAATGGCATTAATTTTGTTCCTACATAAGCTTTTCGATTTCATATAATCAAGAATATATCTTTTTAATCTTTTGTGTTTGTTTCAATCCTTCTTTGGATAAGTATTTTCTCTGGAGCAATAGCTATGAAGGGTTTCTGATCAACAAGATGAAATTTAAGAAAAGAGAAAAAACAGAAATTACCTCAACCACTCAACTTGTCATCTGACCAGTCCTGAAAACTGACAGCACCTTTAGTTACTGTTTACACAACTATCATGGTGAAAACATTTCATTTTGGGATTCCCCAGAGCCAGTATGATCCCCACTGCACTGGATTCCTAGCCCTCAGTCTCCAGATCCTGAAATTCCCTATCCACAAAGTTTCAAGAGCACTCCAGAGTAGTTAAAGAACTAAGCCATAAGTGACCTTCTAAAGGAGGAAATTTTTTTCTAGGCACTTGCTCCTGACAAGGAAACAGCCCAAAGGGAAAAACAAAAGTAAGAGACAATGTCAAGATGAAACTGAGTATACTTTGCATTGAGCAAGCCTCAAAACTGGGGAAGGTCACACAACTCTGATCTTTCCTAGCGGATGGAAAAAGTTAAGGTGGTGGAGAGTATGTCATAGAAGGAGCAAGAAAGGGGTGAAATGACAGAAGACACTGGTCAGGAAGTGGTGGGTATGAGAATTGTTGAGGCCTCCCCTGGAAGGGATCATGGCATTAGTCTAAAAACTTTATTATTGTTAGGAGATACTGCCTATTAGTGGGTGGTTTTGAGCTGGAAATAATCATATCTAGTACTTACATATCTAGTACTTTGCAAAGGATTGCAAAGTTTTTTCCATACATTATATTATTTGATCTCATAACCTTTTGAAGGTATATTACAACTCTCATCATACCCATTTTTCAAATGAGAAAACTAAGAACAAGGCAGACAAATGATTTGTGCATGGTCACAGAGATGAGAAGTCCCAAAGGCAGTATCTAATTTACTTGGGTTGCTCCTGTGGAGATGAAGGGAATAGCCAGGAGCAGCTACGTGCTGCCTGGGTAGACTACATGGAAGCCTCCTGAGAGATACAGACCTGGAGTCTCTTCTCAGACTCATGTTATTTTGGATCCTAAGCTCCCAAAGGGTATGACTGTGACCCTTTAATTTTCTTAGATAAATATTCAAGATTATCTTACAGAAAAACAGACCATTAAATGTTTTCAATGGGGATGGTGTTGATAATTATGCCTTCTATTTCTTTTTATTGTGCCTCAGCACTCAGGGCTTTGATCTATACACAGTAATAATGATCATAACAGCTGACATCTGGAGAGAGCCTTAAGGTATGTGAAGCACTTTATATCCATGATCTTCACAGATCAGTCTTCACAAAAAGCAAATGGAAAGCCATCTCCACTTGGCGGTAGATAGATAGACAGCTTGGGAATCAGGAAAATCTGGCTTCAAATCAAGTCTTGCTCCCAACACATACTGACTGAGAGACCCTGGTTAAGTCACTTAAACTCTCAAGTTACAGATGAGTTTCTGATCTTCACTGGTAGAGGGAGTTCATTCTATGGGAGTTCCCTAGACCAGTGAAATTATATGTACACACACACACACACACACACACACACACACACACACACACACACACACACATACTCTAACAAAAAAAAAAAAGCCTGAGGTCAATTGGCATTATTAACCCTATTTTACAGATAAAGAAACTGAGGCCTGTCTAGGTGTAAATGACAACAGAGTCAGATAATTTAGTAAATAGCAGAGGCAAGATTTAAACCCGGTCTTCCTGACTCTATCCACTATACCATGTTGTATCTAGAGCAGGTATTCACTCCTAAGAACACAGGTAGGTGATTCACTAAATCCTAATTCTTAGTTTCCCCATAATCAGTTTCCCCATTTGAGTAAGGGGAGATAAGACATCATCTTCTTGCTAACCAACTCTATGGACCTAAAAAGATGAATATTCATTGTTGTTCAGTTGTTTGAGTAGTTTTCAACTCCTTGTGATCCCATTTGGGGTTTTCTTGGCAAAGATACTAGAGCGATTTGCCATTTCCTTCTCCAGCTCATTTTACAGATGAGGAAACTGAAGCAGAGTTAAGTGACTTGCCCAGGGTCACACAGCTAGTAAGCATTTGAGGCTGGATTTGAACTCAGGTCTTTCTGACATAGTGCCTAGAACATTCTAGGTACTTAATAAATGCTTATTATCTCCCGGCATCATTTGTATAGTATTTTGGGAAAAAATTTTCACAGGGACTTTTAATACTTTCAGTAACATTGAAGGGGAAAAGAAAGAAAAAACATTGCTGACCAATAGTCCCTTCATTTTTAAGAAAAGAAAACTGAAACACATTCTGTGACATGACTTATTTAAGGTCACCCAGTAAGTTATTGGAAGTTAATGGAATGGGACAAAGGCATTCATTGGGATGGTGCCGTCCAACAAGATATTCTTTTGCTTTTCTAGGGGCAGTGAGTCAAATAATCCAGGACAATATTATGTTTATTCCTGGGATCTAGAATCTCGTCAAGCTTCTAGTTATCTAAATTTGTCTGCGGGAAAGAGTTCCTAGTTAGAAATGTAAGCAGTGGGGTGGGGGAGTCAGCTCAAACAGGTTCCAAGAGAGCTTATTGACAAATTCAGTGGGAATATTTATACCTTGGAAATCAGCAATTGCTACAAATCAGGACTTGATTTATTGTTTTGTTGATTTTCTGGTCTTAAGAAAGTAATGAAGAAAATGTTAATGATACAGATTCAACTTAAAAGTCTGTTCTAGGTGTCCTGCGGCTCGGGGTGGGGAGCCTGTGGCCCTCTAGGTCCTCAAGTGTGGTCTTTTGACTGAATCCAAACTTCACAGAACGAATCCCCTTAATAAAAGGACTTGTTCCGTAAAACAAAAGGCCGCACCTGAGGACCTAGAAGGCCATATGTGGCCTTGAGGCCACAGGCTCCTCACCCCTGCCCTAGATCTGGATCTACATCCATGACAGAGCCCAAAAGTGTACTCTGAGAGCACCACTGAGGCTAGAGATGGAACTGGGCAGGTAGATGTCCTGATGCAACAACACAGACACTTTTTTTTCCTATTAAGCTTCAGCCTAGATTCTACCAGGTAAGGCAAGTAGGTGAATGATAACCTCCAAAGCTATCGTTGCCATGTGGCAGAGACATCTGCCCCCCTGGACCACATTCAGAGCCGT